AGCACTGGCAGGAGCAGCTCACTTCCTGCCCCAGTGCTGCTGGAGCCATGCTGGCTGGTGCCTGCCTGCACAGCCCCCAGCTGTGGATGGCCAGCAGAGCAGGAGTGACACAGTGCTTCTGGAAACACCTCTGTTCCTGTCCTCAGCCCTCACTGACAGCATCTCCAGGGTGACCAGGGCAGCCTGCCTGGCACTGGAACAGTTGCAATCACAGCTTCTTCTGCCAGCCTTGACAATTTTGCTCATGCATTTCTTTTAAGGAATCCTTGTAGGTGTCCAGGGCAAATAATTGTTATGTCATGCCTCCTACAGGACGTCCAAGCCTGGGTTTCTGGGGAGGCAGAGCAGGTTTTAGCACCTCTCTTCCTCTGGACACATGACTTTGGGGCAGGGGTGATGCTGACCCAGCTGCAGCCTCCTGTACCTGTGGCAGCAGAGTTATTCTCAGGGGAAGTATGATCACTTTAGTCGAGGCACTGCAGAAACCTTTGGGCTGAATCCCTTTCTTTCTGATCTCCTCTGACAATACTACTGCAATAATTTCACAGTATCTTGAAATACCCATTTCTCATGGGTCCTTCCAGAGCCCCACCAAGAAGTGCCAGTATCAGATTTCATTCAGAACAGTAGCTAGAGATGAAACAGAAATTTTTTTAAATTAGTTTGGAAAGCAGACCTCTGTAAACTTTTCTAACATATATATATATACTACTTGTATTACCTAATGAAATTGGTCTTTAAGCAGAGAAAGAAACTGATTTCTTTTAGTTAATGTCTCATTTGCAGGGTAAAACACTCAAAATTAGGAATTTAGCACCCAGAACTTGATAACTCTATCCTCTAAGGAGCATCAATCACAATTCAGCAGCCTGTCAGCCAGCGATCCTGGACCCCTGTTACAACTTTAGTTGCAGACAGACTGCTGCCCCAGTAATGCAGCAGCTTCCTCTGGACTCACTTCTTTTCCATGGCCTCAAGTGTTAGCAGACAGAGGAGAGGAAATGAGCTTGAAAACTGGCCATGGAATTGGGCATCCTAGGCCTCCTTCTTCCTCCTGCCACTGCCTCCTTTTCTGTGTCTTTCCATCGTTCTCTGGCTTTATTTCTCCATCTCAAAATGGAACCCAGCCCCATGGGACTTATCTCCCCATAAAATGCTTCCAGATCAATGGCTTAGAGAGCCCTCTGCAGAAGCTAATTATCAATTATATTTTTGTACTTGCACATGATCTGCTCTGCAGATGGGCTGAGTGACTGCACACCCCATCTGTTTCTGCTCAAAGCTGGAGGTTTCTGTACTCAGGGTTATTTTTATATAACCTAACTCCAACACAACCCAAACTAAAGCCCAACATCACTGCAAAAGCTGCTTCCTGATATTTTCAGCTTTACCTTTTCTAATTAAAGTAATTTTGCTTCTGCCACTGCACCCTGTGCAGCACAGCAAGAACACTTGTTCCACATACCCCTGATTTCATCAGGCCTTCAGAAATACAGCCATTAATCTTTAGACAATTGATTTTCTTCCACTTTCTCTAAACTGTGAAATTCAGAATTTAGCTTGCAAGGTTTAAGTTTTCTCTCCAGCTATTTGCCTCATGTGCTTCAAAGCCTCTGGGTGGCTGCTGGTGAGGCCAGCCTGTGTATTTCTGGGAGCTCACAAAGTAATGGCTCCTTCCTTCTGTGTAGTGGCCAAATCAAAAGCCATGAGGAGAAAAAATGGCCTGACTTAAACTAAAACACAGAAAGACACTTTTGACCTGGTCAGCTCAAAACATAACTTGCCCTCAAGCAAAACATATTGTTTCTTAGAATATTTTGGCATTCCCAAATGGGAAATGCTCTGATATTTTCCAGAATGTTTCCTGCCACTTTGTATCAATTTACAAAATTGAGTTGAATCAATTTACAAAATTCTACCCCAGCAGCAAACAGTTCATTATTCCCTCATGCTATTTTCTAAGAATATTTCCTGCTTTCTGAGAAACAACCTGCCCAGCTCTGTATTCAGAGTACTTGAATGTGCTTTGGTCTTTCTTTCCTGAAATGTTTGTGGTGAAAACTAATGCTATAAGTGTGCATTCAAAACATATTGTAAATCTGCTTAGCCAAATGCAGCTCAGGTAGCCCAAAAATCGAGATGGAAATCCTGAAGGACAAGGCACAAGAACTAAACAGCTGAAGGAGAGCGATGCTGCATTTCCTCAGTGTCCCTGCAGAGCCACATTTGGAAAAAGCAGGTGATGTTTGGTGTGTCAGACTGTCAAAACAGAGCTCAGTCCAAACACAGCTCATGAAGAGAGGTGTTAGACTGTGCTACAGCAGGCAGGGAAAAAATAAACTGGGAAGCAGGACTGGGTGTCACAGAGATTGTCACTGATCTCTGTGTTGGGAACATGGATCCTGACAACAAAGATTAAAACATACAGCCATAGAGCTAAGAATCACATCAGGAAACTGAACTTTAGTCAAGCTTTCGGAGAACAGTAGCTCTCACATAAGCTCTCCAGTAATTTCTGCTTCACAACATGGTGACCAAAAGGGACATATCCGAAATCCTTATTTAGGCCCAAAAGACATCTGATTTTTTTCCCAGAAACTCTTAAAATCCTCTTCCTATTTAAGTTAGTGCAGCTGCAGGTTTGCAAAACATTTTGAAAATCAGGTTGTTTCTGTGTTGGTGCCAACACTCAGATAATACCTGAATTCTACCACACTCCATCAATTCCAACAGGTATTCTTGGGATCACTGATCTTTGGAGTTTCTCCTCTAAGCCTGAGCCCAAATGAAAATGACAGGCTCTCTCCTGATAGATTCAGACCAATACTAAAGGAAACTAAGCAGTGCAGGGTGCTAGCAGGCCAGATGAGATTCCTGAGTTATATTTACATCCATTCATGAGTCACCATCCTTTGCTTGGAATATTATGCTGAAATTCTCTTCACTGTAAGGATAATCTATTTCTATAGGAAGTCTGGGCTAAAATATTGTACCATGTGTGAATTCCATGAATACAAAATCATAATTATGTGTAAGAGAGTACTTAATAACCTCTGAGTAGGAAGTGGGACTAAAACTAATATCCCTCTGTTCCAGCTAGCTAATGTTACCCACTCTTAGCAGGCAAGAAAAGGAAGACACATTCTGATTTGAAACAGAAGAAAATCAGAAAAATTCTGAGGCTTGCTGTAGAGCCTAATAGAATTGCAAATCACCATGCTGTGAAGTCCTGGTCTATTTCTCATTGGCTTTGGATTTGTACTTTTGTATAACAAAGGGAGAGAAGGTAATGAGGAGCTTCGGCTAGTTATGGTTACAGCATATAGGAGGTGTAGGGAGAACTGTATTTTATTCCTCATACTCTGATTTTCTTCTGATATTCTACACATTTTTGTGTACATTTCAGAATGAATAGTCTACTTATATTAGAAAGTCTTTTAGTCTTTTGTAAGTCTACTTATCCTGGGCCCAGGAAAAAGGCAGATTAAGGTGATTTAAAAGAAAGCATATCTGCCAAAAAGCCCTACTTGTTTGAGATGCATAGTCCGTGGAAAGGATGATACTGTAATCATAAAGAATCTATGAAAATATTTATTCTTTGCTGCCTTTGCAGAATACCCTCAAAATCCTGCAGCAGCAGAGCTGCCCAGCCATGAAAAAGGTTTTGTAAAATGTGGGTGCTTGCCCAGCCCTTTGTGGCTGGTGTGAGGGCCCGAGTGCCAGCCCAGGAACAGCGCTGTGCCCACGCTGTGAGCCTGGTGCATCCCTCACCAGCCGTGCTGAGAGTGTGC